GTTACCTTATAAAAAAAATTTTAAGGAAGGAAATAAATATTCAAGTTATTGCTTTACAATCAAAATACAGAACATTCAATTTGATCTGTTAATGTATTTAAAATGCCTTTATATTTCTATTGATAGATATAATGAAAATTTAGAACTGGAGGATGCTACACATGCGGCCATATTAACCTTAAAAGAGAGTTTTGAAGGTCAAATGACTGAAAGTAATATTGAAGTTGGTGTATGCAATGAAAATGGTTTTCGAATTTTAACATCAGATGAAGTGAAAGATTATTTAGCAGCTATACCATAAAAATTTTTAAAAAAAGTTTTGTCAAATAAAACCATTTCAAGTTAATTTTCTACAAATAATGAGTTTTTCCTGATTGTACATGCTTCTGTAATTTCGTATTCAATTATTTGTACACACTGGTGATAGGAGTAGTAGTAGCGGTGCATTTTAATCAATTTCATTACATAGAAGATTGAAGCAAGCTGTGACAAGCTACAGTAAATGTCAACATCACATCTTACTCTTATCTCCATGACCTTTATAGATACTGATGTGTAATTATAACGGTAAGCTGTATAGATGTAATCCTCTCTCATAATTACATAAATTTACACTGCTTAGGCTGATATGTATTCACTGAATCTTACGCTGTAATAGTGACTGAATGAATATGACAATCTGCACCCGGACCATTGCTGCTACCTTGACGTGGTGGTCGCGTTTGCCTATCGTAACGAACTAATCGAGCTATACTGGCTAGAACAATTGTCCCTCAAAGTCTCACCATGCCAGATAGGTCGGTTGAAGAGCGGTAAGACTAAAAGCAACAAACCCAAGGTCCGAAGGCGAAGTCGTACTGCTGACTGTACAGAAGTGTGACGGCAGTAAGGTGTTTCCTTCAGATAACCGGCATAACAGTGGTTCTGCCTTCCCACAAGGAAGGGTGGGGTTAGAAAAGGTCGATCATAAGAATGCACACATTGTTTTATCCCACGAATATCCATCTCCGGCGGTACGGTCCCAAAACATATGGAGCTGACACAGAAATTACCCATAAAACGGCCGTGTGCGACCGACCTCAAGCAGTTGTCCCTTGGGCACTGCGGTCACGCTCTCAGGTCACTAAGACCACCTCTGATCCAATTTCCTTTTCAGGTACCTCCAGGAGAAGCCTTCCACGGTGTGGGCAACCCGGGAAGTGATAACCGCCCCCATACATCTAACAGCACTCAAGACCACTGTATTCACAATCAACCCACTTCAATACCTATTATTCCTGTTACATCTACTTTCAACATTAAACTTCCTCTTTTGGCTTCCTCCTCAAGTGTCACCATAGCCAACAATTCTAATGCGCGAACACCGTCCCAGGTCTACTGAAACCTCGCTGCAAACTACACATTGGAGTCTTCAACATACCATATGTCAAATCGACCAGTTGGCCTCCTTAGCTGAGACTCTAGAATCTCGTACCATTGATGTATGCTGTGTCTCCGAAACGCGTACAGGATCCTAGTGTAATCAGTCGCTTGACCTCGCCTTGCCAAACGGAGAGCCGACAAGATACACCCTTCGTGTGTCTGGCGACCCGATGGCTAGTTCTCGTGGACTGGCAGGTGTATGCATAGCACTAAGTACGAGGGCAGAATAAGCACAATAGAATAAATCCCCGTTAACAGTAGCCTATGTGTTGTTCGGCTAAACAGCTTCATAGAAACTCGGGAGGATAAGGACACACGTCGTTTGTGCCTACGCTCCCACTGACTGCAACCCGGATGAAGTGAAAGATGACTCACAGAAAGCTCTCTGAGCTTCTTCATAAAGCTAAACGCTCGAATATGGTACTCGTAACATGTGACATTATTGCTCAAGTAGGTAGCTTAAACCAAACAGAACGACATTTAAGTGGGTGTTTTAGTATTCCGGCACAACGGACAGATAATGGTGACCGTCTGTTGCAACTGTGCTCACACAGTCGTTTATTTCTAACAAGCACTAATTTTAATCGTGAGACAGTCTAAGATAGAGACCTCCTGCGCTAAACCGATGATGGACTCGAATAAACCATATTGCAATCAGTCACCATTGGAGAGGTTCGGAAGAAAACTGCCGCTCATTCTGAAGTACACATTTAGACTCTGATCATGCTCTAACACGAGCACATATTTGCTTGCGCCTCACTGGACTCAGAAAAACTGCACTAAGACCCATTAGAGTTGGACTCAGTGACGAGAAAGCCAAAAGTAGATTCTAGGAACAACTGACGTCACACTTAGGTAGTTCTGAAAACGAGGCTGACCCAGATGTTCCTTGGAAAGATATATGAACAGCAGTGACATCTATTAGTGATTTAAACTAATGGATTTCTACCGAATCTATTGCATTGATGAAGTCTCGCGAGATCATCCCATCAGGTTCTGAAAACAATGAAGAACGAAAACATCAGATCTAGGTTAACCAAAAGTCTAAGGAACGACTGTGGTGGGCAACGAAAGCAAAAGAGATGGGAAAGGGAGCGGCTGTAGGTGACACAAGGCAGTTCTTCAGACTAATAAAAGAAACTGGAATTAAGAAGTCAAATGTAAGACGATCTCGGAAAAAGACGACACTTATCTGCTCCCAGTTCAGACGTTTAGAACGATGAGCTGAACACTAAGGAGCAGTTCGACTGGCCTTCAGTTACTCTACAACGACCCACCGTTTCCAAAGTATGATGGTCCAATTTTAGCGATTAGGTTGACTAATATTTTGACTAGAATCTGGGCGTAATCCCATCTAACTAGTCGCAATCACTGACTGTCCCAATATATAAAAAGTGGTCAAGATTATCCTGTGATAAACATGAAGGGATCGGCTTGACTAATATAGCTTCTAAAATACTAGCCTCAATAATTATCGGACGCATAACGAAGACTTATGAACTGCAAACACGAAAAAACCAGGCTTGCTTCAGACCCGGTCGTGGCTGTATCAATCGCATACTCACCATTCGTCAGGTTTTAGAACATAGGTATGGGCGTCCGACAATGATAGTTTTTCCTGACATAAAAGGAGCATTTGACTCTGTAGATCAAGAGGTCCTGTGTCTGTCATTGAAAGGTGTATTTCAGAAGTACATGTACCTTGTGAAGGCTCTTTACTCGAACACTACCAGTCGAGTCGGAGCTTATGGCGAACTGTCATCTGATTTCGCAACCTCAAGTGGTGTGCGACAACTGTCCATTATCTCCATTTTTGTTTAATTTCATCATGGACCTATTGCTCGAAATAACTTTCTCGTCGACTGAATTTCCGGGCATTGATCTACCAGGTCTACTTATCGACCTACAATACGCACACGACATAGCCCTATTTGGTGAAGACGCTGATAAAATGCTGGGTCATTTGGTAGCACTGAGCAACAATGCCAGGATGTTTGGAATGCGTTTCTCCCCCTCCAAATGCAAGTTGTTGCTTCAAAACTGGCCTGCGTCAACACCTGAATTAAAAATAGGGAGTGACGTAATCGGACGTGTTGACAACTTCACTTATCTCGAAAGTCTGATCAACCCTGATGGGCTGGTGTCTAACGAAGCCTCTGCACGGATTCGAAAAGCTCGTCTGACATTTGCCAAATTACGTCACCTACGGCGAAGGCGAGATATCCGTCGATGGTTGGGCCACGTATTACGTATGCCTGAACACCGATTACCACGACGTGCAATGCTAACCGGTGTAGGGGTTGGTTGGAAGAAAGTTAGGGGCGGCCAAACCAAAACGTGGCATCAGTGCTTGAAGTCACTAACTTCTAGTCTGAGCCATGTTGGTAGATGCAGACTACTTGGTTGGGGTCCGCGTGACTATCGTAACCAATGGTTGGAGACTCTTGGTGACATGGCTCAGAATCGATCACAATGGCGTCGGTGTATACACTCCCTGTCTTCCCTTAAACTAAGAGATTAAATCACTTCATATCTTTCTTTCTACGAACTAATTCTTCCTTCCTATACTATATCCTTATTGCAACCTTTGACCTAACCACTCCTATGAATCCGGTGTTCATCTTGTTGTGCTAATGAGGTATGGCAACCTGGACCGATGCACATATGTGCCTGGTCCTACGTTGTAGCTGACTGACTGACTGACTATCAATAAAAGGACGAGTATATTGCGTGGCAGTTCGTTCTGTTTTACTTTACAGCTGAGAAACGTGCCCATCAGGAGTAGATACTCGTAAGCTACTAGTAATTAATCACAGATGTCTTGAAAATATTGCTCGCATCTGCTGGGATCACCGGGTAAGTAATAGTGAGGTTAGACGCAGAGTATTAGGGAATGATGGTAAATCAGTTGATGAGGTTGTGAATTTTCATCGACTGAGATGGTTGGGCCACATGTTGCGTATGCCCGAACACCGATTACCACGACGCGGAATGCTCACTAGTGTTGGGGATGGTTGGAAGAAAGTTAGAGGTGGCCAAACCACTAACTTCTGATCTGATCCATGTTAATAAATGCAGACTACTTGGTTGGGGTCCGCATGACTATCGTAACCAATGGTTGGAGACTTGGTGACACGGCTCAGAATCGATCACAATGGCCTAGGTGTATAAGCTTTCTGTCTTCCCTTAAACAATGAGATTAAAATTGCTTTATATCTTTCTTTCTACGAACTAATTCTTTCTTCCTGTATTATATCATCAAATGCATTCTTTCTTTTATATATTACTACTATTGAAGTAACTACTTCTATGAATTTAGTGTTCATTTTATTGTGCTAATGAAGTGTGGTCACTTGGACCGATGCGTATATGTGCCTGGTACTACGTTGCAGCTGACTGACCCGGAATGAAATGACAATATTTTCTCAAGTTAAATCAGATTAATTAGGGAATCATGAATTCCGACAAGATGTTGCTCAGTAGTTAACATGCTCAACTCGGAAATGATAAGACTGTGGATTCGGATTTCATTACCATCGTCTACTTCAGTTGTAGCACGTACACACAATCCAAAATGTAGCTTATTACATTTATTGCATTACTGATATATCGTCTCGAGGTGAGAGAAAAATAAACCACTCAAGAAAATATGCATAAATTCATTAGTCGTTCGTAGAAATTACTCTTTACACACACATATTAATTAGAAATGAAACAATGTGCTTACATACTAAATCAATCCAGTGGACTCATTTTTAAGAAAAGAAATTCAACCAACAAACGCTTTAACATAACGTGATGGATGATAAACGCATAAGAAGAAGAGGAGAGTTGTAGTAAGGATTCAATAGTGATTGATATGAAGTATGTATAAAATTGTTTTCTTTAATAAACAGAGAGGGAAATTTTTCGATAGCGAGTAGTATACAAGAAAATTTATTATGTTAGGCGTTATCATGGATTGGTTCTTTATTTGTTTGAATTGTAGCAGCAATATCATCATTACCGTCAGTGTTAATATTTGACGATGATTCACCATCTTCTTCTTGTTGATCACGTGCATTATCCACCCATAGGCCACTATCAACACATCTTTTCATATGATATTCAGCTTGTTGTGGATCCATACTGCATAATACTGTTTTTAATAACTCAACATCTTTTTTCTCAAAACACTCTTGAAGATTCTTGTAGCGTGAGAAATAAAATAGGAGAAAACTAAGTTATCTACATTTATTAATAATTAACATTGTTAGAACATATATTACATACAATGTGCATAAACGAGAACAAATGTTATTAATCTTTAATCATTGATTACGTGATTATTGCATATTTCATCAGTGATGGAATGGTAACTATTTAGTTAAACAAAAGCTGTGATCTGTTCTGTCAACTATAAATATGAATAAATCATACTAAAAACGAAAATCGACTACAATTCTAAATATGTCGTTTTTGAATCACTTGTCCAAAAATATGTTTTGCCTTTGGAGCAATTTCAACGTCCTGTGTATGAAGTTGTCGTTCATACACATTGTTTCTGATGGATCATCTCTTAATTAGAACGAAAAAAGCTAAACATTATTCTTAAACTAATTTAATCAGGTGAAAATGACCTGACCAAAGCTGTTAGTTGTTGTTTATTACTTCAACTTAAACCCCTTTATGTAGTTTTTCAATTGATATATGTTGTTTGTCTGAAACTTACATACATAAACCAAGTGTGATTATTCATTCACCAGGCTAGTGTAAAATATCAATACAATTCACATTTCGGGTGTATCTGGAGTCTCAAGCAATTTGTTATGGTATAAATAGACATACGCGTAGCATTAATTCCAAAAGTAAAATTTACTCTCCTAGATCGAACTCCAGTTGTTTGCACTCTATCATAATGAACAAAATAGTAAGAATTTTGAAAGATATGTATACAATTTGTTATTTCCTGGCATTGTCTGTATACGTTCCCACTAACTATGGTTTAGATAAAATGAGAAGTGTTTTAACACCCAACTATTATCCGAGGTGGTAGCATTCAATATGCTTGTGGAACCTGGCTTCTCCGAGTTGAGGATGTTAGACGACTCTCTGTGTTCGATCATCGTTGTCTCCGAAGGATTGCTGACATCCAGTGGCAATACCATGTTAGTAATGCAGAAGTTCAGCAATGTGCGTTCGGGCGCAGCGACGATAATGCAATTGATGTCACTATCTTGAGACATCGACTTCGGTGGCTTGGACATGTTATACGAATGTCGTCCCAGAGAATTCACGTCGTGCATTATTTGCCGACGCTGGAACTGGTTGGAAAAAACGGATAGGTGGTCATTGTATGACATGGTGTCGTGGCATGAAAGAAAGCTGCAAAGGGCTGGCTTCTGTTGGTCCTTCTCGACTCCCTGGTTGGAGTCCTAGAGATGGTGCAACACAGCGGCTAGAGACGTTATCAGATATGGCTCAGAATAGAAGCCAGTGGTGATCCTGCTGTAACTTATTTTTACTTTCTTCATAAAAAGTGGTCGTAACTTCCTTAACTGAAAGAATTCCTCCTGGTTATACCTTTCCGTTTACCCCATAATAATCCATGTCCACCAACCCGGTTAAAGCGCCGGACATTCGCTTTTCGTTCTCTCAATTTCGTAAACAACACTCGTTGTGCGAGAAGGCAATGGGTAGGACTTCCCTGGCACAGGCTATATACGCGTGGCCTTGTGAGAGCATTTCGAGAAGGATAGCAGGCTCTCCCCACTCTCAGCCGTACCAGGGCATTTAGGGGCATACAGCATTCTGATACTATAGATTATGTCAATTCGTGAGGAAAACCCTAACTCTTAATTCTAATCCTAAACACTAATTTACAGCCTTCAGTTGAGCCACGTATTTGAACTGCTCTATTTTTGACTTCTGACCCCGAATGTCCAGACAGGGTCGAGAGTGGTAAGTCTGCTCTCTCTCTCTAAATGCTCTCATAAGACCACGTATATATTGACGCTGTCAAGGAAGTCTTACTCACTACCTCGTGACAGGGATGTTTACGAAATTGAGCGGACAAAACGCTAATGTCCGGCGTTAAGACTGGGTTGGTGGGTACGAAAAACTCACCTAGGGAAGTTCGAAAACCTTGACTTTTAACCAATGGTCCGCATGAACTCCAGGTTCATGAGAAAAAATAAAGTACAAACCTATTGCCATTTACCGGATCCGATGGGACTGGACCTCCTAACGTTGCTCCACAACCTTGAGGATTAGATTTCTAGGTCGAAGGCTCAGGGAGTGCCCCCTAGGAAAAGCGTATGCTTCCACTTAGACAACTGGGAAGTATCCCAACCCATATATAAACTGAATAACAACTATTTTGTGTGGGGCATACATATTTCGGTTCCCCTTTGTACTAATGTTGTGTTTAAATAAGTAACTGTCACTTTGGTATGGTTCCAAGTACGTTTATAAACTTAAGTCTAGTCCCGTTTACTCTTAAAACCTGTATGACCAATACCGTTTTCGCTGAATACTTAGCATATAAAAACCAGTCTAATAAAGTTAATTAGGAAGCTAGTGGTTCAATTATTTCACTGTAGATCGGTCGAATGAGTAGGCTGGAAAATTTTCATTGTAAAGTTTTCTTTTAGAAAACAACCGAAATTCACAACAATAAATATTACTAACCGTTGGTAACGACTCAAAAACTTCAACTGGATCCAGACCACCAGGACCAAGACGTTTTTGCTTTTCTTCCTAAAACGAAAAACAGAAACTAGCCATACAGTCACACGGATTTTTTTAAATTACTAAGTAAACGTATACGGCACGCACTCGATATTGAACTGCACACATCATTAATGTAAGGAGTTATGTAGTCATACTATCCCTTTGTTCAAGCCAAAGGAAATATAGTAGTAATTTGCCACTAGTAACAATAAACAAGTTGCGAAATATGGCCATTACGAGTAGAAGACACTCGTGAGCTATTTGACCACAGATGCCTTAGAAATATTGCTGGCGTCTGCTGGGATCACCGGGTAAGTAATAGTGAGGTTAGACGCAGAGTATTAGGGAATGATGGTTAATCAGTTGATGAGGTTGTGAATCTTTATCGACTGAGATGGTTGAGCCACGTGTTGTGTGTGTCGGAACATTGATTACCACTACGCACAATGCTGACTGTTGTAACGGGTGTGACTGCAGGGTTTGATACACAGCGTTCTATCGATCGATCGATTACAGTGGACAGTGACACGTAAACATGTAAGGATGACCTAGTGCCCTGATTGGCCCTGCTTCGCTGTCTGTCCTAGCCAGTTGAGTCAAGAACACAAATCACAGCCTCTGAGTTATGAATCATTATGTTCCAAACATACTTTGTTTATATACCAATCAAGCATACCACATCGTACCATAAAATAGGAAACCAATAGGATAGTCGGAAAAATAGACCAATAATTATGATGTTAAGTCCAATGGTGTCCTTGGACTTTAAATGTACATTTCCTATTGGTCGATGTTTACTTCACTTGTTAAATATTGTACAAATGTTGTTTCCTATTTTATGGTACGATGTGGTATGCTTGATTGGTATATAAACAAAGTATATTTGAAACATAATGATTCATAACTCAGAGGCTGTGATTTGTGTTCTTGACTCAACTGGCTGGGACAGACAGCGAAGCAGGGCCAATCAGGGCACTAGGTCGTCCATTACATGTTTCCGAGTCAATGTCACAGAAGCGATCGATAGAACGCTGTGTATCAAACCCTGCAGTCACACCCGTTACAACACTGACTAGTGTTGGGGATGGTTGGAAGAAAGTTAGGGGTGGCCAAACCAAAATGTGGCATCAGTGCTTGAAGTCATCAACTTCTAGTCTGCGCCATGTTGGTAACTGCAGACTACTTGGTTGGGGTCCGCGTGACTATCGTAACCAACGGTTAGAGACTCTTGGTGAAATGGCTCAGAATCGACCACAATGGCGTGGGTGTATACAATCTGTCTTCCCTTAAACTATGAGATTATAATCGCTTCATATCTTTCCTACCACTTACTTATTCAGTCTTCCTGTACTATGTCCTTATATGCAATCTTTCTTTTATATATTACCACCACAGAATTAACTACTTTTATGAATCCGGTGTTCATCTTAATGTGCTAATTAGGTGTGGTCACTTGGACTGATGCATATATGTGCCTGGTCCTATGTTGTAGCTGACTGACTGCTTTATTAAAACCCCGTCAAGGAACTCGATTTCTAACCAGTTAGTGACAGATTTAGACTCTGCATGACGTACATTGGTTTAAGCGACCTCGGCCAAGCTTGACACAACTGAATTATTACCGGAAGATTAGTATGAAAATCGTTGCTAACTTCATTTTTTATCATCATCCTTATATAGTATTCACATTAATATTGAGTTATTGAATAATATTTTCATATATATTAAAACAATTAGAATGTGGTTTTACCTCTTCGATTTGCATCATAGCTTCTTCTAAACGAACTTTTGCTCGAGCTCTGATTCTTTCTCGGAATGCAGAAAGTTCATCATTGAAAGCTTTTTGATATTCTGGTTCAGGATTCTTAAACCTTAATTTATTCAGAGAAAAAAAGGATCCAATTATGTATAAGTGTACACAGTATAGAAAATACAAAGAATAAGTAAAGTTGGATTGTATGATTGAAAGTAGAATCCACAACGCTAGATACGGATGTACAGTTTGAAAATCTATTTACACAAACAACAGATTTGGTCCCTACTTCACTCGATCAACTCACTAGGTTTAAGATCACGTTGATGGACATCTGCCAACAATACGAAAATAGTAAAGATATTGAAATTTTCAGTAGACTGATTGAGCAGAAACTAGAACAAATGATTATTATTTATAAATAAAATCACTGTAAAATGTCACACAAAATTCAGTTAAAGAGGTTCCTCTCACTTTTATGGAGAAAGTGAAAGAAAATTACAGCAGAATAGCCATTGACTTCTATTCTGAGCCATGTCTGATAACGTCTCAAAGATAGTGGTTTTATCAACTCTAAGATGCCAACCAAGTAGTCGTGAAGGACCAATCCTGTGCATCTTTATTTCATAAAACGACACAATGTTATGCACTGAATACCTCTTCGCCATGTCCAACAGGTCACAGCGTTAGCAAATAATGCACGATGTGGAATTCACTGGGATGACATTCGTAGTACATGTCCAAGCCACCGGAATCGGCTTTTCAAGATGGTGACACCAATTGAATTATCGTCTTTGCCGAAACTCTAAATTGCTAACATGGTGTTACCAAGGAATGTCAGCCATCCATCTGAGATAACAATAATCAAACATAGAGAGTAGCTTAACATCCTCAATTTGAAGATGGCAAGTTTCACAAACATAGAGCAAAACTGCTCTCATTATACTGCTTTCATTTATTTCACCACTCACGCAATACTAGGGTATCTGAAGTCACTTCAAACAGAAATGCTGAAATATCAGCAATCAGTCATAACACAATCTGTTTAGATTTACATCATTAATATAAAACATAAATAACTCATGTAATACACTTTTTTTACAGTAACTTATATACATATCAATATGTTTGACGTAGAATCATCTTCAATCTGTATAGTAGCAAATATGATGTTTACAATTTAGGGATCACTGAGTAGTGGTCGTTTTCGTGTTTATCCAATCTTTTAGAGATGATTGAACTCTATCGATTAAGTTGTAATATGATCATTAGTTCACGTGGCCTAACACCTTGTGCACTATGTTAGGATATCAATATTATTGTTATTATAAATAACTTACTCATTTCTTAATTAATTTGAAGTTATCAAGCTAAACCATTTTTGTAGTGATACTTGACAATTTATATATCTCAATAGTTGAGATCATGAAGCTAGACCACCATGGAAAACCTGGAAGCACTTGACGGCCGTTTCGTCCTATTGTGGGACTTCTCAGCAGTGAGCATCCACGATCCCGCCTCGCGAGATTCGAACCAAGGACATATGTCTCGCGCGCGAACGCTTAACCACTAAACCACTGGGCCGGCATCACTTCTGATATTAATCAAAATACGCCCACCAGTGACTGGTTTCAAGAAATATATCCTGGAGTTATAATGAGAAGCAGTGACCAGTGCAGTTCGACCAGGTGTGTTGTGAGATAGTAACTCACTGATAACAATGGTGGATGTGTCGCCCAATTTTGTGGATTAGTTGAAGTTAGATATTAACACCGCTAGATGCCGGCCAGCTCGGTGGTCTAGTAGTTAGGCGTTCGCGCGCGAGACTGATATGTCCTTGGTTCGAGTCTCGCGAGGCGGGATCGTGGATGCTCACTACTGAGAAGTCCCACAATAGGACGAAACGGCTGTCCAGTGCTTCCAGGTTTACCATGGTGGGCTAGGTTTAATTGATTCATGACCTCAACTATTGAAATTACTATAATATCCAAAAAGCCCCTTCTGATTTTATATATCATTATTGAACTTACTTCGCAAAGAATGGTCGAATACACGCTCTTGGATCAACTTTTAGCGATTTTGCTAATTCAAGCATAAATTGCATCACTATACACTGATGTGAAACATGTTCCATTAGTTCGAATTTCTATTGGAATTTTAAGAGGAAGCCAAGAAAAACAACAACAAAAAATAGAATAATTATTGAGAACAATGATGACAATGATTGAAAACAAGATAAGATTCCGTGATAGACTCAGATCAGTTGATGAAACTATTGGAGACCAGTTAGCGTACAGGCATAGCAGAATCGTTCTAGTTTCAGACACTGGACGCTAGAAAACATTTTGTTATATCCTAGTGAAGATTAAATTGCGGGCAACTGAGAACTATTAATGGATTAATATTATATATATATATATATATATATATATATATATATATATATATATATATATATATATATATATATATATATATATATATATATATATATATATATATATATATATATATATATTCCTATTGTATAACCGTTCAGCAACTAGATTAGGTATATCTATATTCCTCTTATAAGCTTCATTTCGACCTATAGATTATTATTATTATACGATTCACTGTTCCTAAATTATGTTCAGTATATTAACTACCGTCTCACACGTTCACAGCCATTTTTTGGCTTGATTTTCTACAAATGTTATTTCCTATTTTATGGTGTAATGCGGTCTGTTTGACCGGTAATATAAACCAAGTATGTTTGAAATAAATGATTTGCATAATGGAAGCTGTTGTTGGTGTTCTGGACTCAACTGGACGGGCTAAACGAACAAAGGACCAATAAGGACGTTAAGCTGCTCATACCGGTCGGACGTCATTAGTTTAATACAGTACTAAGATTGAATGAGGTGCAGTTCGATTGACGAATAAATCACGTGATAATAAGACTCAACACACTTCAATTGGTAAGTCACACAGATTACAATCCTGTATCATTTCATTCGCTTTAGACAAGAAAGACTAGGATAACCAAGACTCATAAACACACACAAGTAGTATGACCCAAATCCGACTAAACATAAACCTGTATTTGGTTACAAAGATTTATGTTAATATTGTTGACATAACAAAACTGTAAATTACGAACATAAAGTACATTGAACTATGAAATATGCAAAAATGAATTGCTTACCTCTTCCATAGCCAAATCAATACACCAAATTACAAGTTGATTAGCTGTCTCTTCACATACTAGATCAGGATGTTTAACAAGAAAATTTTGTGAATCTAATGGTTTTTGCAATAGTCCAAATTTTCGTATAGCTTTATTATGCTTATTAACAAATTCTTTTAGACGATTTACTGCGGCCTCTTCGGAATTTGATGTCGAGTCCAAATTCTCTTCGTGTTTAAGTTTGGGCGAGTTAATAACCTAGATTTTTAGGTTGATTTGCATTTTTTTAAAATGTAGTTTTAGAAATGAAAAGAACAAAGAGGACCGTGAAATAATCAGACAGAACCCATTTTTATACTTATCATTGCCTGATACATGTATATGGCAAACAAATATGCCTGATAGATTATGAGTTAGTTTCTATAGGTTGATTAATAATCTCATTCAACTTATATCCCGTAATCATTTGTAGAGAGATGGCTTAATGATCAGTCAGGGTATTCAGTTTCCAGTTACCAGATCACAAGCTTGATTTAGTGTAAAGCAGCTAAGTATCACTGAACCTTGCTAAATGTGTTGTTCACGGCTGAATACAAGATATGTACTTGGTAAATGAGTTACATTATGTGGGAGATAACTTGACAGAATGTACATATGTCTCAGGTTCTGTGTCGCTTATGACTGACTGACTGACGTGCATTGATCCTTTAAGTGATATTTTATCATGTTTATTTTGTACTAAACATTTTTCATATAAGCATATCATGCTATTTTGATGTAAAACGATTCAGTGTGCTGACTGGTTATTGATGTTTTTTTCATTGAAGGTAGCTCTATATTAATAATTCAGTTTCTGCAATCATTTGTCACTGAGTGATATTTACCACATCAAGTAAGATTATAGATCTTAACTCATAAAAGCATGCTTCTTTTTTGTTAAAGAGATGTCACATTGATCTCATGTCAGGTACTTCAAACGACTATAATAAACAAACATACTGAATAACTAGTTATCCAGTGTCCACCTTAAATTAAAGATGGACATATTACATCCTAAGTTATATCATTTAAAATAAGCGTAAAAATCTCCAGATATTAGAGATTCAATAATTGGAAGTCAACGAAGTAACTACCCAACTCAATCTGTGTTTATGCGTAATCCTTTGATTGAGTACAGTCTAATATAAAAGCTAACTCCAAGAAAAGATTTGTGTGAAATACCGTTTCAATGATGTAATGATCACTTTTCTTTTTTGCGATAATGAAAGCAATGTCTAACAACTTATTCAGTCAAATATTATGTGAGCTTGATCGACTAACGGGATCCTAGATATTCTTTTATAATTCATGAAATTATTATTTCACTTAATCATATTGGCTGTTTTATTAAAAGCAACAATGGGTTAGTGATTAAAATGATTAACTTTTAACTAGTAAATGACAAGGTCAAGTTCAGTGTGATTTTTATCAACTTTGGATTGGTCAGTCAGGTAGTATCAATTGACTCCATAGAAAAAAGTAATGATAAATTAAGTACATATGTACTTCATGAATGGTTTACAATATATTCATATAGTTTCACAGAAAAACTAACTAGTTTCATGACAAACAGATAATTTATGTTAAATTCCATAGCAATGAATTTTATGTGGGTTTTGTATTCAGATATTGTTAAAAAGATTGCTTGTATGAAGTGTTGAGCTTAGTTAGATCCAACTGTATTTACCAGTTTACATGTTCATGTCAAAGCATTTACATCGGAAGAACAGAAGGCAAGATACTTGTTCGGATCTCAGAGTACATTCCATTGTGTTTTCTAAAGTGCTATTCTCTGTCATCCACTTGATAGCGAACACTAAACTGACATTTTAAAACCCTTCGAAATAATTCATAATCAATCAACTTTGAAATAGATAGACTACGTCGAGACAATCGCTACTAAAAAGTTAGAACCATAAGTGTATTTAAAAAGAAACAGTTGCAAATCTTTTACCATCCTAGTCACTTCTATTTTCATTATTCAATTACATAACTTTCATATTCTGAATAAAACCTTTCATTTTAAGTCAATTTTTGAGCTTTACTCATCTTACTATGTTATTTTATCCAGTTTCATAGTTGTTATTACATCACTTCTCTTTCCCTAGAAATGTGTCTCTACGTATTTCAATTTTTTTCCAGAATTACACATTCAGTAACATAAATATTCATTAACTTTACAAACTTATAATTCTTCCACACGTGTTGTTGTTATTTTACTAATCTTCATTAATATGATTTGAAGTACGTGTATTGGTTGCAAATAATTATTACTATTGTTTCTAGGTTGTAAGCAGCTGACCTAGAATACATGAAGTAAATGAATTCGTTTTATTATGTTACGCTTGTTGTTCAGGCCTTAGTCACAATAAGTAACCACTACATATGTTTGCTGTTAAACCAATTAATAAACCGGAATTCGCGTAACCGAATGCCCTGGTACGACCGAGAGTGGGGAGAGTCCGCTCTCCCTCTCGAAATACTCTCACACGGCCGCGCGTATACAGCCTCTGCCAGGGAAGTCCTACCCATTGCCTTCTCGTGGCAGGGGTGTTGTTTACGAAAATGAGAGGACGAAAAGCGAATGTCCGGCGCTTTAACCGGATCACAAACCAATGGTGCACATGGGCTCCAGTATCCTGCGGGAACAAATGGCGTATGAACCAATCGTTGGTCACCGGCTACCATGGGATTGCATCTCCTTACGATGCTCCACTGCCTTGTGGATTAGACCTTTAGGTCAAAGGCTCGGGGTGTGGCCCCCTAAGATAACCACCTGCTTCGGTTTGGGCACCCGGGAAGTATCACAGCCCACACACAAATGATGAACTCTTTATGTCTATGGAAATTACTTTTCTCACTTCGAAAAACAATCAATTGATTCAAATTATTATCATTACAATTATTGTCATTGTTAATACTATTATAATTACTATTGTCATTATTATTATTATTATTATTATTATTATTATCATTATTATTATTCCTATTATTATTTTCCACATTATTCACCCTCTTTTATACTTATACAGCGGCTCGTCTTTGGTGGAAATTCGACTGTATCTAAACGTTCTCGAGTCGCTGTCCGGTTGAAAATTGTATGTTACCACCGAATACGAGAACTGAAGCAGTTTTTCTGAAACCACGTGCATCATTCAAACTGGCCGCCTTCAATGTTCGCACACTTATGCAGGTCGGACAACAGATAGGGCTGGCTATGTCTTTGGAAAGTCTTAATATTGATGTTTGTTGTCTATCCGAGACCCGTATTCAAGACTCTAGCGAAGTACTACAAATTCGCTCTACATCTGTCACTTCAAAAAGCTTGTTTTACGTGCGCTTATCCGGGGACCCTGTGGCATCTTCGTCTGGTCTTGCTGGCGTTGGTGTCGCACTAAGCGCTAGAGCTGAGGCAGCACTAGTCGATTGGATCCCCATTAACAGTCGGTTATGTGCTGTTAGATTAGAAAGTTCCATCAAAGTGAGAAGAAATCGGCGTGAGAAACGATGTCTTTTCGTCATCTCCGCCTATGCCCCGACAGATTGCAGCCCGGATGCAACCAAGGATGAGTTTTACCACCAATTATCTGTTCTTCTTCAGAAAGTGCGTTCGACAGATATTGTAGTACTAGCCGGAGACTTGAATGCTCAGGTCGGGCGTCTAGGCACAGAAGAGAGTCGTTTAGGTGGCCGATGGGGACTTGTTGGTCGCAGGTCAGATAACGGGGACCGTCTACTGCAACTTTGCACAGACCACAACCTGTTTCTGGCTAGCACTAACTTTCGGCACAGTCATCGCCGATGTGCCACCTGGCGTCCTCCCTCTGAATCTCAAGCCTGGACTCAGATTGATCACATTGCGATCAGCTACCGCTGGCGTGGTTGTGTACAAGACTGCCGCTCCTTTTGGAGTACCTATCTGGACTCTGACCATGCCTTGGTCTGCGCCAATCTTACCTTACTTTTCAGCGGACAACGAAGTGACCGCCATCAACGGATTGATATTAGCAAGCTGGTTGCAACTTCTGTTGCAAGTAAGTATCGAACCGAGCTAGCCTCTAGGCTAGCTACCACTCCACCGGAAAGTATAGATGAGCATTGGTTGCAATTGCATGACGCCATGAAAATGGCGGGTACAGTCAGTTGTGGGTTTGCGAAACGTCCCGCTTATAAGCACTGGGTTCTGCAGGTTCCTTACAACTCATTGAAGCCCGTCGGTCTACTCCGGGTGACCGTGAGTTTGACCATAAACGAAGGGTGTTACGTAAGGAAATTGGGCAAAGCTTGCGTAAGAACCGAGAAGCCTGGTGGTCGATGCGTGCTAATGAGCTGGAAGCAGCAGCTGCATCTGGTAACTACCGGAAGCTCTTCCAACTCATCCGAGCCACTGGCAGCAAGAAGTCTGGTGTGAGTGAAACAATTCGCGAGGATGATGGGATGCCAATCACTAACATCCATCGACGTCTTGGACGATGGGCAGAATTTTTCGAAGGGCAGTTCAACTGGCCTACTGCTTCGGCAACATCGGTCAGACTGTCCTGCTCTCCATGGTCGGTGACGACTGATCCACCAAACGAGGAGGAAGTCCGCAAGGAACTCCAACTCTTGAAGCGTTACAAATCACCTGGCCCAGATGACTTACCTCCGGCTCTTTTTAAAGATGGTGGTGACTTTTTGACTAAGGAATTGACGACGTTGTTTACAAAGCTTTGGGAACTAGACAGTGTACCAACGTCATGGAATGAGTCGATAGTTGTCCCTATCTTTAAAAAGGGTTCACGTCGTTCCTGTAACAACTATCGGGGGATAAGTCTACTTCAGATTGCGTCCAAGCTATTGGCTTCCGTCATACTTCGTAGGTTGTTCAAAACCCGAGAAAGATTGACTCGCGAGGAGTAGGCTGGGTTTCGTTCTGGTCGAGGATGTATTGATCATATTTTCACCCTCCGCCAGATGTTAGAACACCATCATACTTATCACAGGTCAACAATCATATTGTTTCTCGACATTCGGGCTGCCTTCGATTCGTTGGACAGGACTGTTCTCTGGGATTGTCTATTGAAGAAGGGTGTGCCTGAGAAGTTTATTAACATCCTGAAAGCCCTATATAAAAACACCTCAGGCAGAGTGAGGGCATACAACCACCTCTCTCCATTGTTCCATTCGAGTAGTGGGGTTAGGTAGGGTTGCCCAATCTCACCATTCCTCTTCAACTTTGCCATCGATGACATTCTGGAAACAGCTCTGATGAATGTAAGTAATGGTGGTGTGGATCTGTTGCCTGGAGAAAGACTTCTCGACCTTGAGTATGCGGACGATATTGTGTTACTGTGCGATAATGCCCAAGGCATGCAATCCGCACTTAATCAGTTGGCAATCAATGTCCGTAGGTATGGTATGTGCTTTGCACCTTCGAAGTGCAAAGTACTTCTACAAGACTGGCAGGATCCCAATCCTGTACTCACCCTGGATGGTGAGCAGATAGACGTAGTTGAGAAGTTCGTGTATCTGGGTAGCTGCATAAGTGCTGGTGGGGGTGTGAGTGATGAGATCAATGCACGAATAGTGAAAGCCAGAGCGGCTTATGCCAATCTGGACCATCTATGGCGCCTTCGTGATGTTAGTCTGGCCGTAAAAGGTCGGATCTACAACGCGTCGGTGAGAGCAGTTTTGCTCTATGCTTGTGAAACCTGGTCTCCGAGTTGAGGATGTTAGACGACTCTCTGTGTCCGATCATCGCTGTCTCCGAAGGATTGCTGACATTCAGTGGCAACACCATGTCAGTAATGCACAGGTTCGGCATCGTGTGTTCGGTCACAGAGACGATAATGCAATTGGTGTCACCATCTTGAAACATTGACTTCGGTGGCTTGGACATGTTATACGAATGTCGTCCCAGAGAATTCCACGTCGTGCATTGTTTGCCGACTCTGGGACTGGTTAGAAAAAGCGGAGAGGTGGTCAGTGTATGACATGGTGTCGTGGTATGAAAGAAAGCTGCAAAGGACTGGCTTCTGTCGGTCCTTCACGACTCCCTGGTTGGGGTCTGAGAGATGGTGCTACACAGTGGCTAGAGACGTTATCAGATATGGCTGAGAATAGAAGGCAGTGGCGATCCTGCTGTAACCTACTTTTACTTACTTCATAAAAAGTGGTTGCGTCTCCCTTACCTGAGTGATTTCTTCTGATTGTACCTTTCCGTTCCCTCGTTATTACCACACTACCTTACACCAATCTCTTCGTTATTGTTCTCTTTTTCTTTTTGCGCTCCTTAATTTTTTTTTTATATTTCTCTTCGAATTCTCATTGTTTTGTGTGGCGCATATATATTGGCGCTCTTCTGTACCAATATTCATGTGTTCAAATAATAAATAATAATAATAACCGTGTAGCTGTATGAACAGCAGAAACTAGGCAGGCAAAACCAACATTCGCATAAACAATAGCATACATTAATCCGATTCACCGTTGGTCCCATTATAACAGACTGGGTAAAAATGCTTAGATGACCAGTCCTCGTCGAAATCTGAGAGACCCGATTATTTCTAGCTAAGAATTCAAGGCCATAACCGTCTTCATAGGAATGCATTTACTCAGTACTTTACTTACGCCTGTTACTCCTAATGGGGGATAGGCCGCCGACCAGCATTCTCCAACCCACTCTGTCCTGGGCCTTCTTTTCTAATTCCATCCAATTCTTAATCATTTTTCTCATGTCTATCTCCATTTCCTCTTTTCCTTTGGCCTGCAAGATTTCATGTGAGGGCTTGTCTTGTGACGCAGTTTGGTGCTTTCCTCAATGTGTCCTATCCACTTCCAGCGCTTCTTACTGATTTCTTCCTCCACTGGGATCTGGTTTGTTCTTTCCCACAGGTGGTTGTTGCTAATAGTATCCGGCCAACGGATCCGAATCATTTACTCAGTGGTGACACAATATTTGTAACTCAGATGTCACAACGTTTTTGACTGTAAAGAATGCTTTTAGATCATTCACACTATTTTCAGCAGTCAGCTTACATAGATCGAACACACTTTACATATAGTATACTCTGGTAAGGGTAACAGTAGTTGAGCTGAGGTAACATGTATTAGTGAACCACAACTCACTGAATGGGAGCACATAAATCGTACAGCTGAGTGGGGTGATACTAATAGATATTTTCCTAAATCTAATTTAGTTGCGATCTAATATTAGCTTACTATTATCTGTGTTGGATACCTAAAAAGAATGACACTGACAGTTTATTAAACCCACTTTACGTTCTCTTCATAACGCCGCACATTTTTCGTAACGTGTTTTCCACTATATATACAACATCAAAACATAAGTTTAAATGGTAAAAATGGTGTATGAATAAGCACTGTATTACGGACAGTTAAGCACATCCAAGGGATTATAAATGGAGTGTAAATTTTTTCACAAATGCTTGTGCAACTTACCGTCTTCGATTTCGCATCTTTGCAAATTGTATCAATATTTAAAGGTCTAAGCTGAATTAGAATTCATAGAATATTATTTGAACAAAACCTACTCGTTCTTTCTTTTGTATTTCAGTCACTTTCACTGACCATTCTTTAGCTTCCACTTCGAGTTCATCGAATTTTTTCTGTAATTCCTGTATGTTGTCTGAACCAGTCTGTCCCAGTTAGATAAAAATAAATATTTCCACAATTCAAACCTCCTTAGCTTTATTTAATTTTTGTTGTGCCTCATTATATTTAGTTAGAAATGACTTATAATTATTCTCAAACTCTGCTTTTTCTTTCTTCCAAGCAGCATCTCTTTCTAGGCGTGCTTGATGTCGCCATCGAAATAAGCTAGGTGTGTCTATATTTGGATGAGTATCATCTTCATCATCAGAAACCTATATGAACATAAAAACGTTACGTTACAAATAATCTTTAAAAATTGACCAGTTGTAATCTCTCCGCCTAAAAACAAACATTTCTGTACATGAATACGTATATCAGTGATGGTTATATATATATATATATATATATATATATATATATATATGGCCAGTCAGTCAATCCTTCGCAACACAGAACCCGACACATGTCAGTTTGTTACCGCACCACACTAGCACAGCGATATTATCGCAGACTTTCATAGCAGAAGTAGTAACAGTATCAGTATCAATAAAAACGATTAGGTATACGAAAAGAAGGTATAAGATTTTAAGACCTAGGTTCCAGAGGAGGAGTGAACACACACACACATTATGGACGATTCTGAGACATGTCGTCTAGTCTTTAACCATTTGTTATGACAATCACTGACCCGAACTGGCTCAGTTCTGTTATCAATGACTATAAACTAGCACTACATCTTGGTATGACCGGCCCAACAACAACGAAGTTCTACGTTGTTACTGACTAACTGACTGATGACCGGCCCAAGCTTTCTCTCAACATACTACAACTGCCGTGATTGAGCACACGTAATACTTTCTAAAAGGTTTATTTATTTGTTTGGACACAAATATTGGTACGAGGGCACCAGATACATATGGCCCTAAAGGATACTAAGGCAACAGGAGATAGTAAAATAATTGTCTTTTAAAAGAAGTTAGGTATATATTCATATGAATGCAAAAAGCTTCGCAGACACGTAGAAGACCGAGGCATTATTATTCTCTCTGTAATCATGTCGTGACTTTATGGTCAAATAACTAAACTTCGGTTTTGGCACCCGAGCAGTATTCCAACCCTCACACAAATCGGATGATGAAGTGTGATGCATATGTGGTTGGTGCCTCCTTTTACCAATGTTTGTGTTCATGACTCAAACTCAAGCATATAACGCTGTAAGTAATGTAAATAAGTTACATTCTCAACCAATTGAAACAGTCGCAACTATCCATTTATTTAAGGACTGAAGTTACATAAATCTAGGTCTCAATCTGTATGTTAACCAATAAGCGAGTAAACTGAGAAGCAATGTTTCATATCACCAAACGTCCTTGAAAATAGAAAACACCCGTGAGTTGTAAGTATTCAATCACAGGCATCTTCCAACAACTGCTAGTGTATATTATACAACAATTGACCTGTAGTGTTAAGGTTAGACGGACAATACCATGTAGAATTGGCAAGTCGGTTGACGAGAGCACAATCCCTTCAGAGAGATGTTAAACACGCTTATTTTATCTACCCTGGCAAAAGATGCTGTCTGGCATGCAAGTTGAAAATAAACTAGGAGTGGTAGGTCGATACATCTCAATTATACATGTTGACGCACACTGATAATCTTAGTATCGTCATGACATGTGAAATTTCTGGTTGGTGATTGAGCAACAGTCTTGAGATGAAGTTGGAAACGGTGTGGTGAAGAGCTAGATTCGTCGTGATACCCCAGTCACACTCATTATGTCCTCTGATGAAACCACAGATCACCATCACTCTTGACTTTCAGTCACGTAACCTAACTTGTATTTTGACTGTATTTTCATGTGCATATTCCCATTGCAGCAGTTAATGATCTCCTTTCCACCTGTACCCAATCGCGTTCTCCTCCCTTAAAGTGACGTCAATTCTAGAACCTGAGCACTCCAGAAACCACCTGAACTATTCGGTATACCTTCTTGCCTGTAGAACAGTTTAGAACGTTGGTAATGCTTACACGTGAAATTTTCTAATCATTAAGATAAAGACAAAATAAATTTATTATTTTTCGGTTTTTCCCATCTAAACTGGAACACTGATGTGTGATCACATATAAACAAAGACTTATATTATTTGAAAGGTAATGTTGAGGCTGCAGGGCATTTTATTATTATTTGGTGGGAGTTAGTACTGACAAAGACAGTACCAGAAGCATCAAATTCCAGAATTATCTCATCACGCTGTAAAATTACATTAGTTACATGCAAACACAGATGACTGTGAAACAGAAAATATGGAGGGTAGTTTGTGAAAAGTACAAACCTCGATGTGATCCCACTTGCTGTAGTTGAGACGCGACATCTTCAGAAACAAAATGCAAGGAAAAGCTTAGAAGCTTTTTGAAAATCCGCTAGATTTACAAACATCAACAAACAAAATAGGCTGCAAAAGTTACAATTAATGATTGAGGGAAGCCAAAGTTTCATTAATAGTCTCAATGTACAAGAATTCTCTAGTTGATCCGACGTCAATTTTGGATGTACAGTTATAATTTAGTAAAGCGAATTGAATCCAATTCCTTTATTACGAGATAGTATTAACAGATTGATTTCCTGGCACTCGCTTCTCGTCGTTTCGGTACGGTTCCGGGTATTCGTTATGGTACTATGGATGCTGTTTTGGCGGAGTTTTGTTCTCTGAGCTGGATGGTTTGTGCTGATGATGTCGTTCAGAAGAACGATGAAAACTCCACGACCAAATCATCCAGCTCAGAGAACAAAACTCCACCAAAATCATCCACCTGAGCTGCAAATCTTCTCCACCATCTCACTATGGATGCTAGTCTATCCACTCGACTGCATCAATTGTAGTCATTTTGATGGTTATTTGTGGATATATTTATCGTGTGATTTGAGTGAGAGAGGCACGGTTCGGTGCTGCGGGCGTGGTCCCTGTTGGATGTTATCTCATATCTTTTATTCATATTAAATATATTGTTCTATCTCTAGCCTAAGTTTGTTCTCCAGCATTAGCCAACACGCCACCAATAAAGACCAGAAAGAGGATTGGACCTGAAAATAATCCTTGTGAGACCGTGATGCTAAAACCCTCCAACTCGCGTGCACTCTGTTTGTCTTAGTACGAAACATCTTGACCTCCGTGTATTTGCAGAGCCTGGATAAAAGTTTGTTAGTGAAAATCATCGTTTTGTGATCTTGGAAATGAGAAACACGTGCGGTGGTGTGTCAGATTTTCGCCGGATCAAAGGCTTTTGCCTCTGCTCATTTATTCATCCATTTGTTTATTTACCGATCTTTCCATCTTTTTCGATATTTGAAGCAACGCAAAAGGGCTGACACTGCCCATATCTTTTTTATTGCCTCCTACGAGGACTAGAAAGAGAGTGGTCAGCTTCCATCCTCGTGTATATAACGAGTGACTTAGCAGGTTACATAATGGTATGTCGATGGGTTCCTCACCCCGTTTCAGGATTATGGTTCTGATTTATAGATCATACCTGTAAAATTGGCGTGTACCTGCCATTATAGGAATACATTATTATTATCCTTGTGGCTTCCTTCGGCGCAGGGATTTCAGTCTCTTTAATACTAAACCGGAAGTTAGTTGGGTATCGCCCAGACACACAACTGGGACTGCAGGTGAGAGATGTTCTACGTCTGTATGCCCCAGGTTAAGTTCGTATACGAGGCTGGTAGTGAGAATCTCTGCCAACTCTGAGTTAGTTAGATCTTTGCCACTTTTCCCATTCGGAGTACAGACACCCTGGTTTGTAGGCCTCCTCCTGATCACGAGTTTGTAGAGATATTAGAGTTTGGTTTTCATTTCGTCTGCCAGCTTCGCCTGTAATAAATTCTATCGCTTCGGATTTTGACGCTGAATCTGTCTCTCAACGCCAATTAAGATCTACGATTTGAATCCTTCAAGGCGATTTCCCACTCTTACCAGACTCTTCGTCTGGCCTCCAGCAAGTGTTTCGTGCCCCGCTAAGCCAAGGATCTTCGCTTTCCATATATTTTCTTTGCCTGATTCACATTGTGTAGAAGAGTATTTCAAATGATCTCCCTCACTATCTGCTAGTGGTCATCCACCGATAATCCTCGCCACTCTCGTGGCTACAGGGTGTGTTAAAAATTCTCCCTTATCGTTGTGTGGCCTGCTCCAATGTGGCTAATGTGTGGTACATTCTCGGTTCGCCGTAGCATTTCTTTTGCGACCACATCCCAATTTTGATGAAAACAAACTGATTTTGGGCCCGTAGACAGTTTAATGTGTTCTCGAAATTTAATCTTTCCGAACGCGATATTAGTAATTCCTTGCAAGGTTCAATATAACAATTTAATAAAATAAAAGTATTGATATATGAGTGTAATATTCTCGCATTTTGGGATCACTTAGTTTCTATACGAATAGACTCATCGCATACTGTCAGTTTTACGTTAACCAGATGGCTTTAATAAAAAAACATTTTGCTTCCTCTCAACAAACTAAAGAGATTATTAACAATTCATGTTTATGTAATATATTTCAAAACATGTGGAAAAGTACAATTTAACAAATAGGTTTGCTCCGAATCGGACTATTGGACTATTTCACACTACAGCTTCAGATGCAAGTGCGATTTCGGGGAACAGCTGCATGTCGGAATTTGTGGCTGCGTACGTGCTGGTATAAACGATGCTAGAGAAGCAGCTCATACAAATCCATTCTTGATTTTTTTAGATAGCTAAGGACTTCTGTTTACTTGTGAAGTTGTTGATAATGATTCTCATGACGTTTTTACGGAACATGAACTCTTATTATCAAACGGGAATTAATATTATTTACCACAAAGTTTAGGTTTATTCCAGCAGGAACTACAAACGGAAACTAATCGTTTCTTTGTAATGATGTCGGTTGAAAACGTGGTAAAGGACCCTGTGCTTATGTCCAAGGGCCTTAGATTACTAGATGTTCTCATATCTTTGAACACTAATTCTTTCAATAGCGCCGTAATCAAAGATATTGTCTAACAATGCTCGATGGCTGTGAAAAGCATCGAAATGAAGCTAGGACGCTTAGAAGTCAAGAGATAGCCCGTCTTCTATAGGCGCAGACTAATTTCATACTGTTTAAAATATACCACGAAGAATCACTTCAGTAAATTTGTTGGAAATGAGATATTAGTTTCAGCTACGACCACTGAGATTTCATTAAAAGTGAGTGGAAGAAGCACCTGGAATTTGCGGTGAATATCACCCGGATTCTGTAACAGAGTTGTAACACTGAAAACAGACCAAGGATGAAATAATTAGGTCTGGCAATTAATGCTTACAAATTACATTGGATGAAATCTCCAGTGAATTAACTGATATCAATATGATATTTGGGTGTCCAAAAGTAAATTTCTATTGTTCGAATAAAATGTCTACTCCTGAGATATTCCGGAAGGTCAAAGACTGCCTTATCATCGGTATTGATAATATTGAATCACATCAGTATGACATTATAGTTCACACTGATGTATTAAGTCGCATAGTTAACGTCTTTTAAAGTTACGTAGACTCTTTTGTTATGCAAAATTAGCCGCAACCCAATCTAAGTGTCAGTTCCAAATTAATTCTATCAAATGTCTAGGCTAAATTGCACCTACTAAGGTTTTTAAAACTGATATAAGTCGCCTACCCTAACTGATTCAAGCAACGTCATCTAAAAATATCCTAGCACTGAGATCATGGATTGGTGCTCTTCAGTTTTATTCCAGATTCATTCTCAACTTTACTAAGTATTGTCTCCACTTTTCGATTTGCTTTATACCAAAGAGTTTGTACGGGAACAATCACTTGATGATATATGATGGAGCACTCTACAGTTTTCAAATGTTGAAGCTTTCTACAGACCGTATTCACCGAGTGAAAGGTCTATTCTTACTAATGATGCATCGCCTTCGGGATAGAATGCGGCTTCAGAACAGAGTGGGAAACCTGTTATTTTACTTCGAGACGATTAATAGGGGGTGGACAACGATATTCTCAGACAGAAAAGGAGGCTGTAGTTGTGATATAGGCGAGAAAACGGCTGCGTAACCACTTGTTTATTGTAACGTTCCACATTGTAACCGATCACTGGGTAATAAAGTTTATCTAACATCCTACTACAACACTTCATCCGTCATGGTCCAGGTATAGAACTTAGAGTTGAACTCTTATAATTTCTCAATGGAGCACCGAGTGGTTAAAAACATGCCACATGCGGATTTTACTATACTATTCATATTTCTAAAGGTCGCATAACGAAAGTGATTGTATGTTGGTTCGGCCATCATCTGTGGATAATCCAGAACTTGTGAAGGATATTCGAAAGTATTTTGAAACTGTCATGAAGGCAATGAAAGAATGTTAATATTTTCAGTGCGAACGTAGGTCTCCTGAGTTTTATAAAAAAGAGGACATATCACTAAATTATGAAAGGTTTTGTGTTTTAGTCATAGGGTTAGCAAAGATTTTCATACCATTTGAAGTTCATGTTGAAGCAGACTGTGGTGTCAAAAGCTAGGAAACCTTTTACTAACCAGGGTTCGTTGTCCGTTGACCAAATTACTAGCTTCATCCAGATAAATTTTAGTCCTGCGGGTAATTTTATAGTATGATATTCTTCGTTCCCATAGTTCTCAACAAATGTGTGCAAATGCGGAGCATGGCACAGAAAAATGTTAATATTTCTGTTGAACCACAGAAAGTGTTTAACAGAAGAATCGATGACAGTATTAAAATCACTTAAATGCGTAAAATATCCTTCAAAAGATTCCAGCTCGTTTACGTACAGATTCACGATAAATCCGCACAATGTGCAAGGTTTTAAATAGAAATGATGTACAGCTAATGAAAATTATTGATGATGTCGATGTAGTCGTTTTGGTTCTCAACCACACAATTGTTGAAGCTAAAATTATAAATACTGAAAAAACTATTCAACAATTAATACGATGAGGTCATCAATAATGAACGCGAGAACAATTACTTGAAATTGAACGGCATAGCATGGCTCAGTTCTGTAGACGTTGTCTTTATGTGTCTTTATTTTTCTGCCCCCATTTCAAATATGTTCTTCAAGAGTGCTTAGCATCGTACTGTTAATTGCCATGATACAATGAGTCAGGATAGACAATTACACGAATTTCACTTAAATGTTTATAGATTAGATAGTTACATCATGACAAATCTACAATTTCGGGATAAGCTCTATTATTGTAAAATCCAAACTACGGTTTGGATGTTGAAGAATAGCCGACCGGGGACTTTAGACACGCGCCATTTCCCGTCGAAATCAAACACAAGTAATCGGATAAATAGCGGTTCTATAATTCATCATAAATTTAAATGTCAATCGTTACCTAAACAAATATTGCCACCCGGCTATTCAACCAATAATTGTTCAATCAATCAAATCTAAATTACAATAAATAAAGAAGTTGATAGAAGATGAGGAAAAATTACCAGTTACAACGAATGAACGTTATTCTATCCTGACTGGATAGATCACACACAACAGGAGGAACAAATCAATATGGCTACCGCCAAGAACAAGTGTCAAGCAAAACAGCACAGATGCAGTTCGGGAAGAAACACAAACTTAGTGAATGCGTAATAAAAACAAA